GGAGGGAGAGGGGAGGGGGGTAAGGAATACAACTCAGACTTTCTTGGCGGAGGTATGCCGCCCAGTTCTTCTAGTTCTAAACCTTGTTCAGATCTCGTACCATGCCATTTTCACGCCCGTTTTCAGATTTGGCCTATGAAACACATGAGTGTTTTTGGACCTATCGTCTAAAGTACTAGATTTTCGAATACATAATTATAACGCTTTGTTGAAGCGTTCTTAAGCTTGGCATGGGTGCTGAGGTCAAGAATTAGTTAAACTAACTTCAAATGATATACTTTGATCCCTTCTCTCTCTATCATCCTAAGTTTGGAGTTGGAAAGACAACTATATGTGTCTATACGCTCTCATGGCTCTACTGATAACGAAACCCGATTTAGTACCACAACAGATGCTAAAAATCTATACCCGTTTTCAGACCACAACCAATATAGCCCATAAACACGACATTCCCTTCCCTTACTTCCCAGGCAAAGCTGTCCCTCTTTCTGGGCAGCCGATCTTGAGGCTTGCTGGGAATGTGAGGAATTACGAGCATAAAAGGTATTTCCCACAAAGAATGGATTACTCATTCTAGAATATCACGTAATACAATTATTAAACAGCAATCCCTAAATTCAGTGGCAAGTTTTGGTTCATTTTACATTCTTTTAAGACCATTTAAAGTTAATTGGAGATGCCGGGTTAGTGTATGTCAGTAAGGCACTCTAAACAACTAAAAACCAATAACCGAAATTAATCAACACAAGGGGTGAACGATTTTGTGGTTAAAGACATTTTCCAGGACCGAAACGGCTTGCGTTCCTGTCTATCACCTTTCATCAGTGGCAAATTTATCTCAATTGTGATTAGAAATAAAAGGAGCCGGCGATAAACAGGAAATTTTGGCGACAAAAATCTGCGAAACGAACGCGTGACATAAACGGAAACGCTACACACTGTGTGGGTTCTTAACCCTCTCGCATTTGAGACGAATTGAGTGGGGGAATTCTGGCAAACGGACGCTGTTTTTGGAAAAATGAGTGTTGAACACCTCCACTGAAAAATTATATCCAGGACTTAAGTGGATTCATTTTATTTCGTACTGTACACATATAGAGACGTCGGTTTAATTCGAAACTGTCTTCAAGGTTTTTATAATGCCATTAACAGCCATATCAAGTGTTTTCAAGAGTACTATTTCAGACGATGTCCGGTCAAAAGATATCCCTCTTGAAATAAAACTGAAGTTGTTTCTATTCCCTTCATGAAGTCACGTCGCTTATTTCTGTTATTACTAATTGGACTTCTGTTTTTACAGAGAGAAAGGATAGCATTTTTCTTGTCATTTGAATGTTAGTACGTGACGTGCAGCTCTTTTTAGTCCTTTACTTGTTCCGCGGATAAATATTTCCATATGAGGGGAAGCTGTGCAGGGTTTCGGCGGTTTCTTTGTAGTTTTGAGTGAACACAACTGTGTCAAACTGTTTTGGGGCTCCTGGGCTTTGTTTTTCGCGGGTCAAAGTGTTGCAAGGAGATATCAGAGTTTCATACGTCTGAATATGGCCCGTTTCGACAAGTTTGTGAACGATACTGTGATGGGGAAAAGAAAATTATAGTGTTAATGGCTGTAAAATTGTGGCTGCGTGGGAATTTAACGTGCTAGAAAAAAAAAAAAGCTTTATTAAGTAAATAAACACTGCTAATGGATTGCTTTTTACATAAACAATCTTCAATATTTGTAGAACAGCTGAAAATAAAACAATTGAGCTTGATTCGAAAGTAATTAGCTTAAACACACAAAGTGAGATTCTCAAGAGCGTTCTTGAGAAGTGAGACATAAGCTCAGCACGGTCGACGCAAAATGGCGGCGGTTGTAATTTCCCCTCACTCCCCTATCTGTTAAACGTTTGCGCCGAAAATACAACGCTTTGGGCTCTTCCGACGGCAAAAAGCCGCGTTTTGATAGACACTTCGGGGTATTGGTTGCAAACTTCAAAGAAAGCGACTGGAAGTCGCATGGCGTAGCTTTCCGTGTGATGACAGATTCCCACAAAGGGTGGGTTATTTAACAACTGCCGCCCGACAAAGCAGACGTAAATCGGATCGTCCAGAGCTACCATAGATATGTATGACTTTTACTCAACAAACTTCAGCTATCAGCCGCCGGCTTATTCAAATCCTTATGCCTATAATGGGCCTGATATGAATTCATCTTGTGCACATCGGTATCCAGGTTATGGGTTCCATTCGCCAGGCCCAATACACACTACTGCTGTACCAAGCTACCAGCCGTGTGAGCGAGTGTTGAACGTCTCAAGATTGGAGAACGTTAGAATGGCCAACAACACGCCCTCGTGTTCAGATTTCTGCACTAAAACGTTGCACCATTTTCCACCAACTCCACCACCAAACATAAACAACTTCAACTGCATCGATGAGCCGCTGAAGAAACAAAGTGTGGACAAAATGCACGAGGACAGCGATCATGAAGGTAAGGCGAGCTTCCATGTGTTTTCTATCGACAACGTTCCTCTTCTTACTCTTCTATGAAATGACCGATTGAAAAAGGCTTTACGATAAATTTGTTTTTTATGACTCGACCTTGTGAACTATTGATTGAATATTCAGAACTAGGAAATGAGTTTTTAATACTGCCGACGCTCCGTCTCGAGAGGGCTTGAAGTCTACAGTGCTTTTCTGGAATTGCCTGCAATATAGACACCATCCTGTGTAACTGATAGTATCGCTTGTTGCAAAGGCCAGGGCTAACATGGCACAAAATTAAGCTGCACTAGAAAATCAGATGTTATATCCCTAAAAAGATTAATTGAATTGAGAAATAACAATAAACTGACAGCAGTGGTAAGCTCCAGTATAAAATCAGTAAATTGCAACCTCTTTTACTGAAAGCGGTGGCGTTTTCCAGGAATTCATTAACACTTCAAGCAATGAAAGTTTACTGGCCTTTTTATACTTTTGTTCGAATGGGTTTTCTCCCTTTCCGAAAAAAAAAATGAGGGAAAATAGGATAAGTCAGCCTGCTTTGATCCCGCGACTCAACCAGCAGGGTGTGCAACGGTCTGACAGAACTATGCTTTGATCCTGCGAAATTATTCTATTCTCTACTACTGTACGTGTCTGTAAAACCTTACGCTGCTGTAGTGTGGCAAGCCGTCTGAAAGACCATGCAACTTTCTCTCTTACCAATAATGTATGGACTTCTTGAGCAAAACATAAATTTTTCCAAAGAATCACCTGACAAGCAAATGCGCTCTACAAGTGACAAGCACACAATCAAGATACACTCCATACACCCAAGATGAATTATTTTTAACTTCGTCCAACTAAAGAATGAAAGGATCAGATGTTACTATATGCCAGTTCTAGCGAATTTGCATTTTTATTTGCTCCCCTTAAAGCTGTTTACGTTAGGAAATTGCATTTGTGCGTACTAAAAATTATCATGACAACGCTAATGGACGTCATGAACTTTGACTATCAAACGTGATCAAACAGGACTTCCTTCAAAATTTTCACAACGCTTTTTGTAAGTTCTATATCCTGCTAACGCTTGAAAAGTGTCACCTGCACCAGACACCGAGTCTTTTCTGATCGGGTTTTCCTTTGCGTTGACGGAACGAAAGCTGCGATCGATCGTAAACCAGACTTCTCGACTACATATCGGAACCCGAAATAGAACTTGTAAAAAAAATGCCTTTCTTATCTAGTCCTTTACAACGAGAGCGTCAGAAATTAGGATTTGACGTGTTAAGTGTAATTCAAATAGTTAACAGCATTGAATAACCAGAAAACTAAGGCTAGAGTAAAGGAATATTCAAGGAAAACAAATAGGTACCCCGCAGGCGAAAGTGTCGGCCCTTTTAAAAATAATTATAAACCACACGAAATACAGGTCGAAACAGATTTCTTCAGTTCTATCAAAGATTAAACTATAGAAACTTCCTTTTTCTTGGCTGATCGATATTTTCAAATCCTTTGTAATGTCACTGGAAAAGAAAGATCACATTAAAGTACAACCTCAACCACAATCTATTAATTCAGTTAGAGCGGAATCATGGGTTATTGCTAATTCACTTCAGTTCTGCATGTCTGTACGTGTGATTTTTTGATAAAATGTTTGTTTGTGTATCACAAAGATAATAAATGCAACAACCGCATGACTTTAATGTCCTTGTACGTTCTACAGATCAGGCAAAATAAAGAGTTCCTTAGACCTCTGCTTCGTTCAAATCTACCCGATGAGAAAATTGCATGGTTGGTCAACGGATCTTAAAAAAGCGATATTTCCGAGTACTCCGAAATTTGCATCCAAAATTTAAAACAAACAACAATTTTGATGTGGCCTAAAAGTTCATAGAAGTACCAATTGCAACGAAGTGAGAACAGTACCTCGTGGAAGTAATGCTCTGAAGCTTTCACGCAATCACATGAGGTGTTTTTAAACAGTTTGTTTGGTTTAAAAAAATGTATTTCTTTTTTTGTTTCAGATGATAAAATAGAAGGTTCCAAAAGCAAGGCTAGGAAGGAAAGAACAGTATTCACAAAATATCAGCTACACGAACTTGAAAAAGAGTTTGGCCGAAACAACTATTTGACCAGACTACGTAGATACGAAGTGGCTGTCAGTTTGGACTTAACAGAGAGACAAGTTAAAGTATGGTTTCAGAACAGAAGAATGAAATGGAAACGAGTTCGAGGAGGAATACCACCTAAGAAAACAGCCTACGTGGATCAAATGGATTTAGCAATTTATTGAACAGTGGTACGAAAGATTCGAATTTTTCGGTGTAAAGTTATTGGTGTAAACTTAGAACATTGTGTAAGGTCTTTTGACGAAGAAATTCAAACTTGGCCTTACGCCCCAAGTATAGTAAAGGAATCTTCCCAGTTCATTTTCTATATCATTTTGTAAATGTATAAAAGAACAGCATCTTTTTCAAGGTTTTAATCAGTATTTCCTATTTCAAACGATGGTTTAATACGATTTTTTTGGTAAATCCTAGATTGAATAAGGTTGGATCGATTTTACGACCTGCGCCGCACTATGCACGTGTAAATGGTATTTCCTCAACATTGTCGCTTATGTTTCATACAGATTTGAATCGACAGCACTGGATGAAATATCCATTGCATGCCAAAACGTCGAATCAAATCAGCTTTCATTCTACTTTAATTTCCTTCAGGAAGTGTTCAGCTTGTAAGGAAGAATAACATTTATGCAATTTCATTGGGTTAATTCTCCAATCAACAAGAATTAAAATTGGATTATATAATTATAACAAACGCTGAATGCTGACATAAACAGCTCAGCTTGGCAAAAGCTAGGAACTTACACTTTTCTGACGTTCGATGTTCATTAGTAAAGCGTGTATTTCATTTGTTTGTGAGATGCTGTACTATTTCTCAATAGTTATCATTTTCTTCAAAGAAATTAATTATTCCAGTTTAAGAATTTAGTTTTGTTTTTTAAAAGAAGATACACATCATTTGGAGAGATCATACATCAAGAATGTTTTTGTTCTGCTATTTATTGTCTAAACAGATTATTTACAAGAATGCTTTGAAAAAATATTTACCAAGATAGAATGCGTTACCGCAAGCGTTGATAAATATACATGAAATAAAAACAGCGTGATGTGAAGTTAAAATAACAAGAAATAAATGTTTAAGAATATTGATAGATTTGTAGTCTTTCTTTCTTATTTTTGCTCTTCCTTTCTTTCTATTTTTCCTTGTTCTTTTTTAGCTAAACCAAAACGACATGAAACAAAGACATTGACAATGCCCACGATCGAGATGTTATATGTATACCCTAGTGATTTACTATGTTTCCCATTTAAGACAAGGGACGAAAGGCGAAATAAAGGCCTCAAAATTAATGCTGTTTTCCATCGCTACATTTAATTTCAGCTTACAATTTCGTGATATTTGTGAGTTCATTATTAAGCTCACGACAGAGTCTCGTTTCAAGGTGCTGTCTCGTTTAGTTGATCATTTTCGATACAGCTTTCTTTTTGAATAGCCTTTAGAAATCCGAGGAAGAAATCAGCATTGAAGATTAGAACCGCAGTGTTAATTTCGACTACATTGTTTCCCTGCGATTAGGAGGTGTAAGGAATTTTTCGACTCTCTCTGATTTCTACAAGGTATGGAACCCGAGTTTATTTACCGAGAGGGAAGTACAGTAGTACTTTACTAAATTTTTCACCATGCAAATTAATTACCTATCAACAAAAGCCAATTTTCCTAAGATTGGCGATAGATTATCATAAAAACCACCATTTACGACCGTTTCAAGGCCTGAGAAGTCGAACCACATTTCAGTTGTTGTGTCGGTCTGCAAAATGACAGATAGGAAAGAAGACATGCGGTAAGGACACGTACTTCTTCAAAATGTCTTTCACTTTGCGGTTTGTTTCCATGCAATGAGACCACCCCGAGCTTGCAAAATGGTACAAATATGAAATAATAAGAAACCAATGATTAGTAAAAAAAAAAAAAAATCCTCATCCCAAAGAGTTATATCGTCGCAGAAATAATCGGGCCGCTTTCAAAGACTCAACACTGATTAAGGTCTAAGCTACATGTCGAAATATCGTTGAGTCAGTTTTTTGTGGCTGAGAATGGGGAAGAAGAAAAATGGATTGCAATAACAAACCTGATATTGGTGTGCGGTAAGGAAGATAAGTGTATATCAAGACGCAAAAGCTGTGCCAACTGTTCGCATGTGTCTTTTCCAAATCCAGTGACAAGAAACAGATAGCTCATCTTCTTATCTTTTATCTCCGGTTTTCGTGGACGATTATCGTAATTTAGACCACCAGCCACGAGAAACATGTTCTGCACAATGATTGATCTTCAAAAAGTTGTTATCTGTAAAGCTGTATCTTAAAAGTGCCAACTTCAGTGTTGCGACTGCATGGTCACCCCATCTGAGTTGGACTTGCAAAAAGCAGCCGACTCAAGGCGGAGCGTCTGGGAGAGATTAAAAATATTGCCTTGATGTTTCCAGACATTTTCAGCGAAGCTTTTTGCGTCCCTAACGTGACTAGATATGAAAGATGTGTTACTTGTTTGTCGTTGCCACTTCGCGATCGTCGCATAAAGCCTCTTTCTAAAGTATGAACAATGGACCAATTTGTATGAACATAAAATTTACTTTACCTATAGAAATTGTTGTCGTCCTTAAAGTTGTCATCACTACAGAAAACGAACGAATCGAGATCATTTGATTTATTAGTGGTTAGGGAGTTTGACCTGCAAATTGTTTTTGGAGAAAAATATCCTTGCGATGACATAATCGTTATAGCTTTTTGCCAACGGTTTTGGGAAATTCTTATTATAGTTTCACGATCATATCAGAGCCACAGACTGATAGTACTTGGAACCTAATTACAATCGCTCAGGTTCGTTATTTTTAGAACATAGTTGTCTAAAATTAACCATTGAGTTCTTATTCGTGTCTCAGACGTTGGGTTAGGATGTGGCAAAGCTCGCTGTCTAACAAGTCGTTGGCTCAGACTTGCCACTGACCTGTTTATGGCACACTTCAGTCAGCTTGTAAATTGCTACTTTACAAGCTTTAGAGCTACAAAAAAAATACCATTAACAACGCAAGTAGTGTATCCGGTAAACTTCTGTCCAAAGAGATGGTTATAACACGTCCTTAGCCTTTTTGTATTCCGCGGAAAATTGCAACTCACAGTTATCAACAGATAAAAATTGTCCCGTCATCAATTAGACAAATCAGCTAATAAGCATAGTCACCATAGATAGAAAAAGTTTAATTGATGAAATAATCAGTCTTCTTCATTAACTCAACTTGTACTTGAGATTACATGTAAAACTGTCATTGGGCTACTTTCTCTTGACCCATTCGCCTATTAACATTTCGCTGACTCAAGGATAGCTTGAAGAAATGTAGAAAGATGTTATCCGTTTTCTCACGATGATTTAACGGACATTAGTGAGGGAAAATAGTGAACACTTATTGTTGTTCACTGCTGCTATGCAAGAGATAAACTTGGGGAACCTTCTTCTCTGACACTTGTTTCAAATTATGGCGAAGCCTAGAGGAAACGGAACAACGGAAAGGAACTGGTATAAGAGACTTAAACAGTGAGTAACTCGCCTAAATATGACTGGATGAAACTCAAATACACCCTGCAGTAAAGTTATAAGCTGCAGAAAGGAATTCATATGTGCTGGACATAAAACATGGAGGATCAACTGAAGGTTAAACTGCAGCAAGCGAAGCTTGTTTAAAAATTGCATCTTTATGTTTGAGCAAGACACCGGCGAGTTTGCAGAATATCTTACCGAGAAAAAAGATAATGTATTGTTTAATTAATGTTTGAGGGGGCAAGAGCGTGCTAATGAAGGTCGACTGACAGAGCCTCAGCTGGAAGAGCAAGGTCTCGCTGGCCCCGCTGAGCAGTTATAAAACTTCGCGCCGTGCGACCCCAAGTTTCTTCACCTCAGCGAGAGATTTACGTCGGTGCTACTTTGTTTGAGGAGGCAAAGATTCAACTGTTCCCGAAAATCACACTGTGGATGAGCGAAAAGATATTAATGACATACCTTATGTATTTCAGTCGAATATATTGCTCTCGTCACCATGCACAAGAGTCAATGACGTGACATTAGCAGAAAATGAACTAATAAGGTTAATTCATTTTCAAGAACTTTTTCCGGGATTCTCGTCAACCTGTTAACACAGCTCTAAACAAGCGACCAGATAAGCATTGTTGACATGCTGAAGTAAGCCACTGCAGTTTCTGCACTTGCGAGATTCGAGCGCCATATGTAGTCAAATTGTCAATTTGAAGTAATTACATGTTGCTAATTCAGTTAAAAACTACGCTGTCATCGATATCTACAAGAGAGACTCTAATAAGTACAAGGTAGAAAATAAAATCCATTTGCTTATCCCAAGCAAAATTTAATCGTTTACATGATAGTAGAAAAATTGCACAGCGGGTAAATATTTATTTACTGAGGAACGCTTTTAAGTGCGGTGTCAGCGACTCCAGACTTGTTATTCGGATGTTGTGAATAAATCCAAGCCAGCCACTGTCTTTGCATCATTAATCTTCATTTGTGCCTCATAACTTGACATAACTGGCTTGCGTCCAGGGTAAAAAAACAGAAGTCCAGGCCTGAGACTCTCCGGTGGTAGATCAATATGGCTCAACATGCTCTGAAGTGGAACAATAAAAGAAGAGGTCAATCTTTTCTTATGAGGTGTCTAATCTGAGATCAATTCATTTAGTTGCAAAACCCATCCATCACTAATCCCTGAGACATGCGAATCTTCCCGTTCCAGCTTATGATAACAACAAAAAATAGAAGAATATCTTGGATTCCAGTGAGAGTAATCCAACTGAATTGAAGTCCAATCGGAAGAAACTTCTCGCAAGCCGTCAAGCGGTTGATTGGTAAACAACGTTGAAAACACTTCACTACCTGATGAGATGCCATTCCATCAACCTCTAAAGGAAATGTTTTTCTTCGACACCACTAAGAGAATTTTCATCTCAATGGAAATAACTGATATAAGTAGGGAGTTGTGCTTTATACCTTTGCCTATCTTATTTAGAGATAAACCATAACCTTGGAAGAGTGGACAGACTTGAGAGAAGTATAATCTACATGTGCAAGTATTTCACATCTTACAGAAATTTACATGAGCGACGAACGTTCTCCACTGATTTTAACGACAGTTAACTACTGGACTTTCCCCTCGTAAATGTAATGAGCCAGAAAGAATATGTAGAATTGGGAAAGAGTGTTGCTTTTCTCTGTGAGCTGTTTTCTTTAAACAGGAGGACTGTTTTGAGATCGCACATTAAATGTTACAGCAAATAGAACCTTCTCTGTAGGAAAAAGTATTGCACATGGTCGGTGCTCATAAAGGAGACAATGAGTTCACATCTGTTGCGCATTTTGTGAAACTTTCCTCTGAACTCTGAAGTGATATGTCGGTGCTCCCTTTGTTAGTAAGAACGGCTGGGAGCCATACTACCTGTGGTTTTTTAATCACTCCGACAGCTCCCTTAAACCGTGATAATTTATATCAAAAATTGTTACCAACTCTATGTACGCAAGGAGAAACGTGATTTGAAGAGAATCGTTTGACAATTCGTTAAATGCACGAGTCTACTGAAAAGAAAGAGAGAGAGAGACTGAAGAAGCAAAAACGAACTCAACCGGTTACAAAGTATGATAGAAATATGAAGTACACTCGGTGTTCATCAGATAACGAAGTCCTAGAGCTGAATATCAAATCAACAAACTTTTTTCCTGGCGTGTAGCTCCTGACCACAAACTTGGTTCTCTCATCAAAGCAAGAATTTTCAGGTTTTTTCATTTTTTTCATCTTTGGATATTTGTGTTCTTCAAATCAAGCACCTCATTGAGAGCCTTGTTGATGTTCAATGCAATCAAAAGACGGCTTTGTTGACATGTAACGCTGTCGTATCCATGATTTGACAGTCACAATCTGAGCGGTCTGTTTGTGTCGGGATCGATTTCAGCGCGCATTCTCTGACCGGCCAAATCTCAGCGAGAGAAAACCCTGCTAATTACCTTTGATAGAAAAAGCCTGCACTGCGACGTGAAACCCAACCGTTTTCTATCTTGTTTTCAACGCAAATGTATCCAAGAACGTACGATGTTCAGCCGAGTTCGTACTCCTATCCTCCACAGAGTTATGCAGGAACAGTGCATTATCCTCATGGATATTCTCAGTCGCGATTTACCAAATACAGCAACGTTCCTATACAGCCGCAAGATCTCTCAGAACTGCCGCAGCACCCTCCACCTCCACTTTCTCACTTAACCGAGCAGCTGAGTGGAAACCACCGCACTCAAACAGAAGATCGGCCCTCGTGTATGCTTCAAGAAAAAGCTATACCAGTTTTCTTCCGTGTCACTCCGCGTCCGTTTGATGGACGCAGAAACCGTCGAGGATCAGAGTCCTTCCACGATGGCGTGAAAGGTAACTTCCTTGATTGATTTGGTTTCCATGCAAAATTCCCTGCTGTTTTACTTGTATTGCACGGCATGAGTTACTAAAACGAAAGCAGGAACTCATGGTTTCGTTGTTGCGTTTCTTAGGGGGATTGTCGTATTATTTATCTATAGTTTCAACAGGACTTGATACAAATATATTTGGGTATGTTTCAATAGGAGAGATTTGGAGAAAGAGTAAATACTTGGTTAAACAGAAAAATAAAACTTCGATGATTCATAGAATAAGAATACGAAATCAAACTCTTATTTTCAAACATAACATTGGCTACTTTCCATGCAAAGCTTCCACTTTGACTAAAAAAAGAAATTAAAGAAAGAAAACATTTCCCGATCATGCTGGAGCGTGTTTCGACGCAAATAAATTGTCACCAATCATACATTACAATCACTCTTCCAACTAATTTAGGTCAACAAAATCTCCCAATTAACTCTTCTTATTTGCTCTTTAGCCTCTCGGTAATAGCTGATCAAACGAAGGAAAAATGCTTTAGATCTTCATGTTGTTTGACAGTTTCAATTGATGAACTAAAACAACAAAGCTGACTTAACATGGAAGGCTGTTTGCGAGAGTTACGCTATTATCATTGAAATTCTGCAGCTTAGTTGGCCCATAAGCTACCAAACCACAATCAAAATGTGAAGTAAATGTCGGGGTACTTTGATTAGCATTTTTACAATATATGTGCGTTGGGATTATATAATCTTGTTGTGGAATAGTAGTAGAATACAACCACTGAAGACCTGAGCAGTTCCCGAAGGGTTTTGCGTTGTAAAGCTCTATCATACAACCTCATTCGCCAACCTTGGATTGTACTAAGAAATCTTTCCACATCCTACTTAGTGGCGTAAGTTTTCATTTTCAGTTTGAAAATTGCAAGTTTTAAATCGAATACCACAAAAGAATGCTTTCTCTGATTGCGCGTAGTAACAATTTGAGGTTATCAGTGAGCCGCCTGGAGAGGAAATGCACAGAATCTTATTTTAGACAAAACAACCTTTTCATGATAGAATCATAGACCCCAACAGGATCAACGATTTGTGGAAAAGATTTAACTTTCAAACTTAACTATGCCTGATCTCTTAATTTTTTGTCTGTCTGTAATGAGAGTTCCGTTGCAAGTCCAATAGGAAAAGGAACTCTGCCGTAAAGCTGTCGTCTATTTTGGTGGTCTGATAACACCCTTTCTTGTGCTTCAATTACTAATTTATCAGACCTGTGGTTTTAGCAATTAATGACACTTGAAATTGGCCACAAGAGAAGCCTCACATCAGTGTAAAGAACAAGCTCCTTAACAGACCTGCTGAAAGCCTCAAGAAACTTCATAGTAAGGAGACAAAATCCCTCATCTAACCCAATTGTCTGATTACTTCTGAGTTCTCTTTGCTGAGAAATGTAAACTGCCTTACAAACTTTCCTAATATATGAACCATCTTTGATATCACCTTCATAACGCAAAGTGCTTCGGAGGACAAAATTACAATTCTAGAGTTAGAAGTGTATAATTAACAGACTCAAACCTAAATCAGACAAGAGAGAGTCGAAATTCATTGTTGACAGAATTTACAAAATATAATCTGGTACCGACTTCTGTTTGTGAATTACTTCTTGAAAGACCAAAAACAGATCCACAAAAATCCCAACTTGAGCTAAGTTGATTGTTATGTTTTGCGGTTTGAAACAAAGTAACTTCCATTAAGTTTGATGTTTGAAACTAGGACTATTTGTTCAGTGCGTCGTAAGTTGGCCTTGCCTATGAAGATTCAACTTAGATAAATACACAAAATTGATTCATACAGAATTTGCCAAAGTTTAAAAAGGGCGACTTTATCGTTTTCCGATGGCTCTCTTGGTCATAACGTCTTGGGAAACTTTTGTGTGCTTAAGGAAGAATTGACCTCCTCGAGTTCCATCTACTGTAGAAACTTACTCGCAAAACAAGCTGTATGCAAAGTAAGGCATTCTCTAACTGCCCCACAAACAAACTATCGTCTTAAAGAATCGTTTGCAATCAAAAATTTTCTGCTATTTCTGGCTGAAGATAAGACCACTTTTAAGTCTTCAGTAGCGAAATGCATGATTGCGAAATGTTCATGAGAACTCAGTGAAGCATCTTTGCTTTACATACACCGTTCTTCGACCATGGAAAATTCAGTTGGTGTAGGCTTTCTAAAATGTCCACATCATGAAATCTGTTTCTGTCTGAAATCCTTGGACAAGAACAAAGGATTGAGTAAAGAGAATGGCAATGGATTGAGTAAAGAGAATGGTATCGGTCTGACTGATTATTTAAATGCCTTTGTTGGCTCACGCGATTTCAACGTCAGATTCTTTCTTTGTTCTACACTGTGAAATACTGTTACTTGGAGGATAATTAACTTAATGGATCGTGGTGGTGAGAAATATTCATTTACGCTAACAAAAAATTAACACTAACAGCTATTACTCAAGTACATACAAACCAAAAAAGGAACCATAGTGAAAAAGTAGTTTGATTGAGTTTGAACACAAGAATTGACTATCCAAAACAATAACGAAAATGCCATTATTTGACACACCAGCCAAAACTCTAAACAAAAGTTATAAATCATTAGGTTCGCCACTTTCATTGACATAAAATTGCAGTAAGAGTAATAAGCTTTTTGCCTTATCTTAGAAACGGGAGATCGAAAAAAACCACAAAAATGTTGATTTTAGTGGAGTGCTTAAGGTGCGGTTCATATGAAGGGAATTCAAAAGACACCGAACCTCAGTCATCTCCAACGACGACACAGCCTTCGACAACCACACCTATTGGAGTGTTAGTACTTCCTGTATAATGATGGAGTTTCTGAAAGAATTCTTAAGGACTTAAAGCACAACAGTGTTTAATTAAAAAGGGAGGTTTGGTATTAATGTGTTTGCACTCTTTTTATCCAAGTTACATAATGTGATGGGCCCATCTGAAAGTCATCAAAATGGCGGATTCGCATCATTTTCGGCGCCGAAAAAGTAACGCTAACTCTGTGGCTGAATTTTCTGCGTAGCAGAAAAGGAGTGTAGCAGGTTTTATCCACCGAGATAAGATTAAACTTCTTTTTTGAACGCTTTCTATAGACATAAAGAAGTTGAAACGTTCTAGGCAAACACGATCATAAAGGAGAAATGCCCCGAGGCTCAAAGAAGCATTCCATTGTTTGTTATTGTTCTGCGTGATTTGTTGAGAAAGTTTTGGACTGAAAAAAGAAACAAACAAGACATAGATAACTTATGGTTCTGATGGATTCTCTTTGTCTTTTACTGCAGTTAATATTCTTATCTCTAGATGAGTTTTTGATAACTGATTTTCTCTGTCGAGAACATTCAATCAATTTATCAATTTATCAATTTATACTCACAAAGAACACCATTCAGGAGGAGATGCTTGAATTACTGAGTTGTGGTTCATCTTTCGAGAGACTAGCGCGATGAATAATGAACATGTCCCGCGAAAGAAATCCCTAGGATCTCAAGTGTAGTCTTGGATCAAATTTTGGCACAACAGAAGGTACTCGCGTGTGAGACGCAAACCAAATGCCGTGTAACGCACATATATGAAAGGATTTAAAACCATGGCGGTCACAACTGATTCAACAAGCAAATGAAAACATGAAAATACGCGTGACCAGCATTAATACCAATTTTTTAAGCGCAAGTGTTCCACGCAACAGCTCGAGTGGGAATGACTACTGACAGTAAATCAATACTTACTCTTAGCGCTCTGAGTCCAGTCGGCTTTCGAACTTCATCAGTAACATCTTGCTCTGCCGTGCGTCATGGCGGCTTCCTTTTAACTCTAAACAGACCAATGCATTGCTGCTGCTTCTTCCTGACTCTTTGCATGACTACTAACAAAACTTAATGGCTCTCACCTTCACTGCGTGAAGATCCCAAACAGCTCTGATGCGCGCAAGCATTCCTACAGAGTCTCTATTTTGAACTATTCGTATTCAAAACAAAACCCAGACTGGAAAGACCATTAAAAAGCCGCAGTGGAGATTTTTTGTTTAAATGACTTTAACATCTGAGTTAATTTCTTTTGAGGAAGGGAAAGAAGTTGATTTGAGAGACTCCCTGGCGCGCTGCTCAGTGAGTACCGACTTGAATTATTTTTGGTCACCCTTTTTATTTCTTAAACAGATTTTCCCACTTCTGAAGAACAAACGGGGTCGGCCACGGATACTAAGAAAAGAAAAGAGAGGACAGCTTTCACTAAACACCAGCTCCAAGAACTGGAGAATGAATTCCTTCGTAACAATTATCTAACAAGATTAAGGAGATACGAAATTGCGGTGAGTTTGGACTTGACTGAAAGACAGATAAAAGTTTGGTTTCAAAATCGACGAATGAAATGGAAGAGGATAAAAGGGAAGCCTTTACAAAAACGGGGTAGTTATTCTATCGAGGATGAAGAGGAAGAAACAGCATGATTGCTTTGGGATTAAATAAAGGAGACTGTAAAGAAAAACTGAATCCAAATTGCATAGTAGAACAAAGGAAACTTTGAAAGGTTGGATATTGTCAACGGATTTGGAGACACAAGCTTATAACTTCAAGGAAAGCAAGCGTGCTGAACGACAGAAAGAGGGAAAAATCATCTAGTCAGAAACAAAAGGGACAACATAGGTAAAATTGGAAAGATTTTCTGTACCTAAAAAACTTTGTTATTTGAATGGAGGGAATATTAAAAATAGAGCAGGTTGGCGATCCATTGAATATCATAATCGTGGATTGATAAAAAAAAATATATTATTGCTTTTATCTATGTATGGTATGTAAACTCTTCTCACACATATTTAGAATTTGTAATTCGTAATGAAAAGAACATGAATGCCGATTTGAAATGACAAATTTAAAGTACAGTGAGAGGAAATCGACCACTGGAGTTAGTAACTAAAGACTGAAGAGGGACAAAAACAATGTAATTTAACCTTTGTCATTCGTTTTTCTTTTTCCGAATCCGGAAATCCTACCCTTTTTCCAAATGGAGAGAATTTTACAGGATTGTAGTTAAGCTTGATGTATCAGTTTTTAAATTTCTTGTTGCCACTTACCCCCAAAGAAAACTACTATCGGTACATACAGTGTCAAGTCTCAGCTTGCTAAAATCAAAAAGATTTTTGGGGCCAAGTGGACTATGTGATCTATTTTCATGTACTTTGTGTTATACCTGTTACAGTAAAAGGTCATAATGAGTTACTCTACGATTATTTATCCAGTTTTAAGGGGATGCAAAGGGTGAATGATTCAATTAACCTGTTGTATTTGTGGAGCTACAGAGTATCATTTGTATCCATTCTGCACGTCTCCTAGATTTACGAAAAATATGTTACTGACTCGAGCCCAACTTCACTGAAAACATTACTAAACAACGTCAAACCCAAACCTTAAAAAGTGTTGTGTGTTGTTAGCTTAACGCCAAGAGTGATGGACATGTTTAAGCAACACCCGATAGAGTTAAATAGTCACTTCAATGGAAATTTACTTCGACGGAAGGGCCAATATTACAGGATCCACTGAGGAACTAAACACAGAAAAAAGTCACAATGTCATAAAACTGTGCAGATGACCTGACACGCAGAAGCCCCAGGTTCGGCTTGTAGATGAGTGCATGGGTAGTTGAATTAGTTTACAGCGAAAAGATTATAGGCAGTTTCTCTTTGAATGATTTACTTTTTCCTCCGTGGCCCGAATCGCTATAACCTCACTAGTTTGTGTGAAAATAAATATCTCCGATAAATTGTTGCAGGACGATAGTCTTCATTTATAATACTCAGTATAGGCTGAATATCCTAAGCTTGTAGCAGTAAAAAGTGGTTGCTACAATGAAACATTACAAAGTGCAGGTTTGCCACACAACGGAGAAAATCACACCAAAGCTGTAGCCTGAATATCAAAAATATTCGCTTAGGAAAAAGACATCTGGAAATATTTCATGAGCAAGCCGATCACCCTAAGCGCTTCCGACGAGAGCAAGGGTCACTGTCTCTGACACGCCGGCGGTTTGTGTTAAACGCTGACTTCAAAACCTTGATGATAGTCTGTCTGACGATATGTAACCGATACACGATTGATTCCAAGCCCCCTCCGCGTTGAAAGAATCTCTGTAGGACTCTAAAGGTCTGCCAAGTGCAAAACAGTCGGAGTTAAGAATTTTGGTACTGAATTTTTCGAAAATTTCAGTCATTCGGATCTGTATAAAAATGTTGGAATTGTGAGTTTAATGAGACAGTATCACGGTTTTTGCCTCTGATTATTTTGTAGTCTGGAATCCGTTTTAGCCTTCCCTAAACTTAGCTATCCTGGTTTATTATCGTCTTTTTAGTGTCTTTCTATTGTACTAAACCGATATTTTGTAGTCATTTGCAATCCTTTTTTCTTTTCGGTTTATTTTTGTCTCTTTGTGTTTTTCTATCTTACAAAACTAATATTTCGTAGCTGGTCATTTTACAATCCACGAGAATCTTCTCCATCCTAAGCCATGCTCGATCTTTCTTAATTAATTATTGTCTCTTTTGTGTTTTTATGTCTGAGCGAACCAATATTTTTTAACCCTCTAGAAGATAAATTTGTTCAAACATTGTGACGTCGTCGTGGGTACCTTTATATTCCAGAAACGCAAAACAAAAAAGCGATCATATTTTTTTTCACAAAAGATGAAGAAACTGTAACGTTTCGCACATTATGTGGAGCCTGTACTAAACAGACGATGTTGTGATTCACTTCTGTAAGAGGAGTGAAATATCTATAAACAAATTTTTGTCAAGCAAATTAACCTTTCTTTCTGTCCGCCTCGTTTCTTTCTCCTCAATTAAACTTCCGTTTTAAACATATGAGTCAATTTATCATCTCTCAAGGAAAACCATCTTGATATCAATTGAAGTTCATTTCGTTGATTTTCTTTTTAGTTGTTATTTCCTTTTCGTTTTTGGTTCTTTTCTTTTTGTCATTCATTAAACCTCATCTGGGGCAAGCAAAAATTTTTTGTAACAGATAGTCCCCTATATTCTTATATTTCATTTATTAACTTGGAAACCTTTTCTATTTTCCTTTACCTAAGTCATATTTACGAAGTGGATCTAATTTATTTTAACACTTGCTCAAGTTTTATTGACTCCATATGCTAGGGCTCATTCAGATGGAGAAAACGAATCTAATATCAATTAAATTTTTGTATACAACACAAAATGCTGTAATTTCTAAGTTGAACAACAACAGAAAATGGTGATTTCAATTATCGCTGTCTACAAATAGAATGAAAGCAATGCGATTTTTTGACACATAAGTAGGTTCACTTGAAATTCTTTTTAAATTCTAATAAATTTTTGTCTTTATGTAGGAACGACCAAAACATTTGATAGGGCACTTTGCAACATAATCAAGCCTGATATGTGCTGTGGAGTATGCTAGTTTTGAGTGTATAAAGCCAATTAATGTTGAACTTCGAATGCAGGTCTAAGGGAAGACCAATGGAAAGTCCAAATAGTCCATAAAACAGTTATCTTGATCGATCAGAGGTTCAAATATCGTGATATTTTTTGGAGAAGTTCGAGATGAGGTAAACTTCCCTTTGATGGATCTTTTATTTTACGTTCTTTGCAAAATCTTCTACATAATTAGCTAAATTACATCTCAAAGGTGAAAACAGTAACATAAATAACTGAAACAGCTTAGTAGCTTCCTGCGGAAACCTCGCCAATTCACACAGATTCACTCCCTATTAAAGGTGTAGAAACAAAATTGATTCTTCACCCGTTCAAAAAAAGACCAAGTTCTTATCTTGCAGATCAAAACGCAATTTAAATGGGCGACATTTCCTATTTAATTTCTGATTATAGATACCTTTACTCTTTGTGCACTTTCTCAGCAATGCACAAATCCAATCTGGCGACCGGATCGCTAAGGTTTTTCGGCAAAAATTTCTTAATTAATTTTCCACATTCATGAGATTTGTTTTATAACATAAATTGCTTTCTGATGTTTACTCAGAAAACATAGAAAGTAAACCAAAAAGCTTGCAAATCAGTGGAACCAATTTAACGCGCGATGGGACCTAAAGGTCTCCCACTCCATCTTGGTGATTTTTTAAACGCGTGAAGCAGATGGAAAACACGATATAGCTCCGTCTTTGATTGTTTTAGGACAGAAGTCTAGAAATGATTAGACATCACTACCTTGGTTAAGCTCTAATTCATTTAGCATCTGATTAAGTCGGCAAACACAAAGAAAACGTTTATCACAAGAGTACGAATTGCAGACGATATTTATTTTTCGTGTGGCAGCCATTACCGACAAATATGAAGCAATTTTTGTGTGATGTATCCACCAGAAAACTTGCTTTTTTTCAGCCAGGCCAACGATTAATAGATAATGGCTTGCCAACGAGATTTCAAAACGTGCTAAAGCAATCTGAGCGAGGTTTGGTAATGCACTTATTTCGAAGACAGGGGCCATGTGTGTCAAACCCGCTTGTCTGATCGAGGCCCCCAAATCGACCACTTGCAACAACTGTGTGTATCAGCTGACATCAAAACGGAGCGCGGCGACTTGTTGCACGTGCAATCATGGAATATCGATTACACGAGCTGTGCATGACATAAACAGTCGCGGTTTGGTCTAAAAACATATGTAACCGTGGCGGAAATCAAATTTTACAATCAGGAGTGGATGCCACTGCTGAGTAGATACACGAGAGAATGTATACCAGAGGATATGGATATGGTAGTCAGACGTACAGCCACTACAACCCCCAATATCACATTCCCCAGCGAAACTCCCCGCACCATCCTTCTTATCAGTCCTACATTTACAACGCGCCTCGCTATGGATTTAACGCGTTTACCCGCGGCAATCCTGCTCCGTTCAACCATATTCCAACATCACCTTCGGCGATCCATTATCCAGGAGAATCGCGTTTACCCGACCTAACGAGTCAACGAAAAAGCTACGAGGCTCACTGTCATTACTATTCGCCCTCAACTCTGCCTCCACAACCTGCTCTTCAGCCTCCAGTGCCGCCGATGCAGCGAGAGAAGGAAACTGAACATGGCATACACGAGGGAAACACGAGCACGAAATTAACGGACAATTGTTACCCAGGTAAATAGAAGAGATATTTTTAATTACAGTTTGGGTTTAACGCCTTGCAAATGCCAGCATTCCTGTGTCAGATTAAGAGCTTTGGAAACAGGATTATTGTGTGTGTATGTGTGTGTAGATGTAACACTGATTGCTATGGATTGCTCATTATTTTACAGTTAAGAGTGTATTATACCTGCATTTCCTTTAATTTTTCCTGATTGAAATTTGATGGAAACTCCGTGGATTTCCTGATCTATTGAAAGATCTTTAGTGATCGATTAAACAAAATAAATCATATTGTTTCTTTCTCCCTCCCTCGGTCTCTCTGTTAAGGTTTCCTGGTTTAACACTTTTACTCAAGCAGTTTAGAAAAGGTCCGCCTCTAGGAAAAATAACTCCATCTTAAACGGCCAGTATAGTAATGGTGGATTTGTCATCTAAATTACAGTTCTCAAGCACTGCCCGTTCGTTTTCAAACACTATTGTCTTCTTAATCTTGACGGCAGGATTCTCATCTCGAGTTAGCTCTTTCCTGGTTATAATTATTTTCATCTATTCAGGAAAGGAAATAAAAGATGTTTTTATTGTTGTCGCAAAAAGCTGCTTCTCAAAATTCCACGTCTCTGCAAACTGTACGTTTTATTATCGTTTTTTAAACATCTACTTCTCGTAGAGCTGTTTCCAGTTTCGTTCTTGAGGCCAAACTCGTGATTTTGTCGGGTATAATCAATCTATAATGTTTGCTGTTCCCGTTTATCTAAATGCTATGCACTCAAGACTGTGCTAACGAGATATAGGAGCAATGACTGATATATCACTTAAAAGATCAGCGCAGTTCAATCAAACTATCTTGGATTTTACCTAAATCCTACTAATCTGTCTGTCAGGGTCTGACAGATCTGCCTAAAAGGCACAAAGAAGTAAGATTTTTTTTTCTGGTGCCCAACATTTATGGATGAGCGCCCACAATTTTGTTAAAGACTTACTAGAAATCATTCTTGATTACCATTATAGTACAGACTTCAAGATAACGATTTCAAATTGTTAACCATTTTATCGAGATTTTCCCTCGAGAAATTCTGAAAATTTTTACATTGAGGTATATGAAAATCTGACAAAAATAGCCACCTTTACTAGCCAAAATATTTTGAACAAATTTCAAGTTCCTGAGAACAGCATTGAGACGAATTAGCTCGTTGTGAACAGCAGACTGAAGAAAGATTTACAATCAAAGATGGGGAAAAAGGATTTTTAAAAAAAGGAAACATTTTCATTGTCGGCTATGAATTACTATCATTTCTGAAGAAATAAAGTGAATTTGGCAAAAGAAAAAAAAAAGAAATACTCCGCTCTGTTAAGACAAACGGTTTCTCCATCAGGCAAGAACTGTCACTCCAAAGTTCAGTCACATACCGTGATAACATTTTAATATTGAATTAATGAAAGATGCAGATATTTTTGCATGTGTTCCGAGGCAAATCACTATCGTTGAATTATCACCGCATTCATATGTAGCGGATTAACTTTTTCAAGGCAAAGAACTATCTTTGATCACGACACAGATTTCCTAATAAGAAGAGACAAACTCGGACCATTTGAAGTTAAGACTACAATCGATTGGATGCTTGCGTCAACCCGCGCGGTCCATCACGTAGCCACGTTACAGGGAAATAAATGTCGTATTGACTGGATTGGTCGCATTTTCGGCGGAAACATCAAAGGGAAAACATCAGTAAGGGACAGCGGGTCACATTTTATTGCAGAAACATTTGTTACAGGAACATCTGAAAATTCACTTTTCTACGAATAGAAATATATTGGTCCTACATGCTAAAAGCATGTGTCGAAACACGATTTAGATCATGCTAGATATACAATAATCCAATTGTTGGTTCACATGTTTATCGCTGATTTTCGAACGTAGGGTACATTAAGTAAGGCGGGATACGGAAATATCTTACTGAGGTACTATGCAAAAGAATTAACTTTGATTTGATAAAATTTGCTCCATACTGTTTTTAATAAGCTTGCAAGGGAAGTTTTTTTATATGAATGCGAGTGAATTTCGAACTGTTATAAGCACAGAATGGAGTCTTGAACAGACATAAGCGCGTGAGAGATGCAGTGCATGAGATCAGGGGCAGCAATTATGAACAGCGCACGTGTATGCAAGCTGGCCTTTTGGAGGACGTAGATTTTTTCAACTTTTTAGCGCGTTTTGGGGGCTCTTTGACTTGAAAACAGTTCGTAATAAAACCTTCAGGCCAACGGAAAAGAACAAGCAATTTATAACAGCTATTTATTCTCTAATTCATCGTAGAATTTAACTTGGGTGAATAATTTCCTTCACATAAAGTTGACCAAAAGACAAAAAACGCTTTACAGAAGTCAACGTCTATTTAAGGATTTTTATCTATTTATTTTTTGAGACAAGTAAGGGTTGCTTGAATTGATTAATGATTCAGTCATTTTTCATCCATGCATCTACGGACTGAGTACGTGCGATTAATCTAACCAATGAACGAGGACTACATATGCCGACAAAGCGACTGGATTAGTACCATCTGCTGGTATTTAATCTTGCCTGCATGGTAGATATGTAGGTGTATTTTTCATGAAATGTTACGTTTAGTATGTCCTTCATTAGCTAACTTTAACAATGCTTTTTATGTGCGAGAGCAATATAACTGTTTAATTTCTTTTCGCGAAGTTCTTCGACAAGTTTTTAGCGGGCCAGGAGTACCCGATGCTATAGCGTCCTTTACGGACTTGTTTCTTTCTATTCCATTTTTTTCCTTTTAAGGGATGACCTTGGGAAATGCGAAACATATGTCTGGTAGATAACTAGAAGTAAAAAATGCTTGAGGCAGGGAATTCTGCCATCTCTTAATTCGCTTAATTTTCACAAGTAATTGAATTTTTTAGTTTTCCCTGCATGAGATTTTCCGCAAACAACTTTCGAAATTTAGAACATTTATCCTTGACGCCTTTGGACTGATATTAATATCAATATTGTTTGGTTTCAAAATAAAGGCCTCGTCTTTTAAAATTTCATTTTTCAAGCGCCTTTCGCGTTACACAGATCATCGAAGTTTCTCCATCACAACAAGGTGAATATTTAACGACTCCATCAAAAAGCTTGTGTGAAATCTAAACTTCATTGTAATTTTGAAAAACTGTCTCATTTTTCGTCAAGTTCTGCGTCATCTCAGCTTCGATAGAGTTATAGCTTTCTCATGGCTGATTCACACTGCTCCACATTCCAACTACAAATAACGGCTGTCTAAACAATGTTACATCAAAGCGTTCACAAAACTAAAACCCAGAAGAACTCTAGATCTGGTATTGATCTTAACAAAGCTCACAGTGCTAGCGTCACCTAAATCTCCTCTGCTCCAAAACGATGTTATTTACATCAACGTGAATAAACTTCTTTTCTCGCAGATCTTTTGCTTAATCCATTCAAAGGGATTACCACTTGGGTTCACGTCCGTACCGCGTCTTGATCATGATTGATTAGTTATTCAGTAACCTGTTGGCGAGTTGAACAAATATTGTCCTCCTTTTGAGGAGCTTTTTTCTTTTTTTAACAATAGGAAAGTTTCTTTGGCAATTTCTGTCATCATTTTTGTCAGTATTTGTTGTTGTCTTGGTTGTCTTGTGCCTTTTGGTCTTGTTTTCGTGGTTGTTGGTATTGTTGCTGTTGTTCTTCTTCTTCGTTTCATCTTTCTTTTCACAACTGTGTGTCGTTTTTGCTGTTGTTTTCTTCTTCTTCCTCTTTTTCTTCTTCTGCTTCTTTATTACTAGTTCATTCTCTTTTCCCTCTTTTAATCAAAAGAGTTAACGTTTCTTTCCCTTCCAATACCATTACAAGATACCGTGTTCAAGAAAACGTTTCCGGTTTCAGTTCGCCCTTAAACTCCTAATATCTGATTGTTAATTCTCCCCTCTAGCTGCTACATATTTCTTTGCAAATTAGTTATGAGAATTTGGTGTTGGATCAAGATAACAACTTCTACCTGATAAGTTTGAGTATTCTCATTACCTGTTTGCTGGATAATGTATAGACATCATATAGAGAAGTTTCATGTTAATCGCCTCTGGGGGTTAAAGTGTTTTTTCTTTTTTTTTTTTTCTAACCTGACTGCGGTTATGCAAAGGCGAATAACGTTATCCACCGGATAAATCTCTCTCTGGTATTTTCTGTGAGCACTTATCCGGATAGCGTTATACATCCTTTGAACAAATAAGCCCTGATTACAGGAAAATTTATGGGAGCTCTGGAGGAAAATTACTTGAATGATACTGGAAACAAATAACTCAAATTGACGCGTGTACTGTCTCCATAGCTGGTGAAGTCGATGAGGACGAAGATGACGAGGAAGAGAAATCAGAGAAACCAAAAGGAAAGAAAAGAAAAGAGAGAACAGCTTTTACCACACATCAGCTACGTGAACTAGAAAACGAGTTTACTCGAAATAATTATCTCACGAGACTGCGGCGATATGAGATCGCTGTTACCTTGGACTTATCAGAGAGACAGGTTAAGGTCTGGTTTCAAAACAGACGAATGAAGTGGAAAAGAGTTAAAGGGGAAAAGAAACCCGAGAAAAAATCTCCTTTCCAGATAATACAACTGGAAAAAGAGAGACTTCAGCAAGAATCTTGCGCGTAATCGAAGAACGTAACTATACACCGAATGCAAATATGGCGTCCAATTTGAATTGCCATTGTTCTGGACTCACTAGCCTCTCACACATGTAATAATCCTTTTGTGTTTCCACGCGAAGACGAGGCTAGTGAGTCCAGAACAATGGCAACTCAAAAACTCAAATTGGACGCCATATTTGCATTCGGTGTATGGAGAGGAAGATCACGGTGTTTTTATTACCCCCCCCCCACCCCCCAAAAGAAAAGCTATTTGTCGAGGGAAAGTTATCATTTCAAATGATAGAAAAAAGGAAAAAGTGCAGAAGGTTTTCCCCCTTCAACCAGAAAGAAAAACTGTGATAGAACCCACAAAAGAACATCTTGCTTACCCCTACCCACCTAGTAAGGTGACCTCTTTTAACTGTCTCACGACTTTAAAATTGTACAGGGAAAGAACAACTGAATATTGTCCGCTTTCTGATATTTTTTGTGTGTTTTTTATACAAAAATTAAGAATTTAATTCCTAAGAATCAAGAATTGAGAACGTTATATGAATGCCATTCTACACATAAGGAAAATAATTATCTATTTTTTATGCAAAAAAAAAAAACTTAAGAAGGTATGCTTGCGCGGGGAACAAGATCGCTTAAAAAACATAAGTTAATATACTTAATCTGTAAATAAACCTTTGTCTCATTTTTTCCAATGTCGTATTGTCATCTTGGTGTGAAAAAGAAAATGAAAAATAGACCTGGTACAAACAACGCGAGGCAGAACTCGATATGAGCCGAATTTCAATGAAACTCAAACTTCATACATTGGAGAAGAAAATTATGAATAAAAACGTGAGCAAGAGTATACCTACCTCGACGGGATTCATTCTTATTTTTTTTTTTAAAAAAAGCAGGTGTAATTAAGATCTCTTGACAAGGGAGAACATTCTCTTTGCAGCACTACTGTGTCATAGGACCCCTGTTGTGTCAAAGTAACCAGATTTTTCCTCAATACCTAAACTCGATCTAATTGAGTCACAGAGACAAAGAAGAACAAGCATGGGGATGAGAGGGTCATGACAGAATATGTGCAGTTTTTCTTTACACCCCCAACCCATCTCGGCAACCTGCAAGTTTTCTAAACCAATCAGAGAACGAACTGAAACAAAGCCATAATGTAGTGGCATTTTTATTTAGCTCCTTATCCATACTGCTATCCTCTGACGTGTCACGCAACACTTTGCGAAGGACTTTAACCAGACTGCATTAAGAAGTTTACAATTTTTTGAGAGAAATTTTGCAGGTGCCCCCAATTTCGGCCAACAAGGCCAGAGCACAACACTATAAATTGAGTTCCAACTCTTGGAAAGTGCGTGAATTTTTTCCCCAGCTAACCAGCACCGAACGTAAGATAGTGGAAACAGGACCTATGGCTCATCGTCCTCATCCGAGAAGACTAAAACGTTTAACCACAGGTTGCCCAAGCTTGGGCTGCCTGTGGTTTAACGTTATGGAGCTGTCATGGCAAAGCCAGCATATTCTCCCGAGTTATTTTAAGATCCTCATTGTCCAGTCCGGTCTGGGGCTCAAGCTTTCCACCTCGGCCTATGATATTATTGTTTCTCGTCAACTAAACTAAAAACAAAAAAAAAAAAAGAAAATTTCAGAAAACTATGTTACAAAATTAGATATACCCAAGAATGCTCAATGATCTTAGGTCTAAGAAAATAAAAAAAAAAAAAGAAAAGAAACCTGGTGCTAAGTTTATTTTCTTACGTACAAGTTCGTTCAATTTTTTTTTCTAAGTTGTCAACAGCGTTGAATAATTCTGCCACAAAACATCAACTCATAAAAACAATTCAACACTAACAAAATAATTTCCAGACGTTTAACTAACTTATATTCATATCACAGTGTAGCTTTGATGATAAGAAGATATAAAACTAACCTCTTTTGATTTAACACAAACGACGGCATGGTTTCAAATCTATGAGTTTGAAATGAAGAGAAAGGTTTGGGGAAGTGAGAGCTTCGACGTAGCAGTCCCCGATACAACGAATAGACTTCGCGAGTATGAATACGATTTTTACAGTAACTCAGTGACTCCCAAATGAAAAGCAGTTATCTATTTTAAATGTCCTTCCTCCAAAATTTTGAAAATACATTTATAAGAAACAACCAAATCAATGGATACAGCACACAAGACACACAAACTCCGTTCGTCTACAATTATGCAAAACGATCGTTGGACAGATTTCAGTTTTCTATCAATTGCAGGGTTCGAAGTTTTTCAACTCTTTTACTCCTGAGATCACACAGCTCTTCTTCTTTCATATCCTTCAAACAAATAAACTTAAAATGTCTGTTATTCTTCAAAACTGTTAATATCTGTTGTCTAGATGATTTTTCTTGTACTAAATGAGGGAACTTGAGCTTACAAACGTTAATGATTTTTACAAGGCTTCGTCGCCATTACTCTGCATTTCTTTCATTTTCTGTCTGTTATTCTTGTGAAACTTTATTCCGTGACAGTCCTGTTTGGACATAAACGATAAAATATATATCGTTTTCTTTTCATCCTACATGCATTAAGCTACCATTCTTCGTACGGGAACTTTTCACTTCTTTTAGAATCAAAACGGAATTACAAGTTCGACATTTTATGTGTTTGTTAATTTACCTCAATTGAAGGATAAAAGTCTAGTTTGTTCAATTTTAACATCAATCGTTGCACTGTAAGTGAATGTAGAACTGGAAACACTCTTCACGTTCTTATCCACAATTATACTCGAGAACACTGAAGAGTGACCGATCCAAAGTTCTTTTTAATGAGAACGTTTCGTGACTAGAACCTTGGAACCAATTATTCTTGCCGCCTTTCAAACAAAGTAAAAATTGTGGATTATGAACTTGACTCCAATCATTAAATTTTGCATAATTTGTTTTTACCCACGCTTGGGGAAAACTTTATAAAAAGAAAGATGTTTTAGTACCTTTAGGAAATGCTCAATCAATACTCTTTAGCAAATAGACAGATGAAAAGACGAAAAGGCTTGTTTGAATAAGTTATTATCTATTTTATTGATTAGGCCAACAAAAATAGCATTTCGTTTCCTAAGGAGGACAGATGGAAATTAAAGTAGCTCTTTCGTGGCAGCAGATGTTGAAATGATTAAGGATGTAAAGAAAAAGAAACATACTCACCGGAAAAAGCTCATTGTGTGCATGGCATACTATCAATTTTGATCGAGCCGGACTAAACGAACTAATTAAACTAAAAGCAATTTACGAACTGTCGATTTGAAGTTTGAGTAAACGGCATAGAAAGCTTATTACACCTGCCGTTTTTCTACTTCTCGCATAACCACGATTCCGTAAACCAAAGTCTGAAAAGGGTACAAACGAGACGTTTCGAAAGTTCGAAGTTGCACAAATTTTTAATTTTTGCCTCCAAGTTCACTGCGCTCATGGTACTTTGCCAGGAGACAAACCCGCTGGTGTTGTATTTTTACGTCTCTTTGCTTTGCAAGAAACAGAAATTACGAAGGAGGAAGAAAACTGTCACTTTTGTTCTAAATAACAAAAGCTGTTAAAACAGGAACACATCTCCAAGTTAAACTTCCAAAATACTTAAGTGTTCCTGGATAAAAGTTACTCTAGCAATGACCGCCGTCTTTTAGCACCAGGATGTTAGCAAACCTGAGGACAGTTTTAAAGAAGATCAAATTCCCTCGACAGTTTTGGAAAATCATCTGGATAGAAAAATCTCACAGGAAAGATCTGTCTTAACAGGGTGGAGATGTGCTTCCATAGTCGACATTTGTGAAGGTTTTCCTTTCAGTGTCCCGTAGTCGACAGATTATAGTTGCCACACCGTGACGGCTTTCGCGCTAAACAAATATGAAAGGTGGAAAAAATAAATTACCAAGCTTGAGAGAGCCGACTTTTGGTAGCGTAAACGTCGGAGAACAATCACCAAATTGAAACAAAGAGGACACCTAGTGTTGTTAATTTACTGAAGGTTTATAAGAAATTTACAGGGGGGGGGAGGTGGAGGCTTATCACATCATATCTGTTACGAAGTTGGTAGAATAATGGGTAGAAAACCCTTTGCATCACCCCCTAAAATCCAGGCTTAAATTAACTAGTCCCTCCCCCTTCCCCTCAACCTCCTGCCTAGAATTCACACCGACAGTTGATTTTCTTCGGAACTTGGGAAAGGGAAAAAAATTGTCGCCATTGTTGGGAGCACACCGGAACTAATGAAATGAAAAGAAATGTTTAAATTCCTTAAACAGATTATTTCTTAGCAGATGGATTAGCTTAAAAATAGGGTTTAAATACGGATCAGAAACTTTACTATTTCACTTTTAAATTTGCCAAAGAGGTGAGCGTACGACTCGCTTAAAAGAAAAAAGGAGAGCAAACTAAAGACTTGCCTTATACATCTACACAGAATCAAACACTCACTCTATCCTGGTATGTTGAAGATTTTCATCTCATACAAACTTGAATAATTAGTTTTATCATTTAAATAGATTATTTTTCACTCCGACAGGCTCTAACGTGTATGATAAACTAGTTACAGACACACAATCTTGTCCGGCAATTTTTCGTATATTATCTTAAAGAAAAACTTCTTAGCTTTACAAATAAATTCTAGTTGAAGCTGTATACCCAACTAACGAGGCAAAGCTGGAGGGGATATTTCAAGAGAGACTGTCATTTCGAGAGTGAAATAAACTCTTGTGATAAGTAACAAATCTTCCACCGCCCTGTCCTCGAGCTTTTTTTTTTTTTTTTTTGCATAACAAGATTCTTGACGTATGTTCGGATTTAAGGAATGTCCCTCACTCTTGCCGCATTTTTGAAAGGTTTCGAGGGATGTATTTTGACCGTCAAACTTTACAAGTTTAACATAATCACGGTTACAAATTCTATAAGGATAAGTTTCAGGACAACACCTGAACCATTGTACGAACTAGATGATTGGACTATGAGAAGCGTTCACATAACATTTCATACTTTTTGAATCTTTTTTTTAGCGACAGGTCTTTTAAAAAAATTAATTCAAATTTTTGACATTAACTATGAGTATTTTCAACAAA